CCTCCTGAGTAGCTGGGATTACAGGCATCCGCCACAATGCCCGGCTAACTTTTTGTATTTTTAGTAGGGACGGGGTTTCTCCATGTTGGTCAGGCTGGTCTTGAGCTCCCGACCTCACATGGTCCGCCCGCCTTGGCCGCCCAAAGTGCTGGGATTACAGGCGTGAGCCACCGCGCCCGGCCAGAATTCACCTTGTTTTCATTTGGTAAGTCTGGGATTTGATTGCAGTCACTGGGTCCCCAAGTCTCCCTGGCTCTCACTTTTCCTGAAGAGAACACGGAATGTAACCTGCTGGACAGCCAGAGGCACTGTCCCCCTGGGCCCATCTCAGGCGTTCTTGTTTTCCTTCCAGCCCCGTCCTAGGTCCAGGTTCTAAGACACACTGGCTCCAGGGTGTCCTCAGCCCACGTGGACATCTCCCTGAGTCCAGAGGGCCCCACCTTCTCAGTCCCGGTCTCTTAACAGCCCAGGGTGCAGTGTTGTCTTCCCGTGCAGTGGGAGCAGTGGACACCCCAGGGGAACCCACAGACTGCATCGTGTCTCAGAAGTCATCAGCTCAGCTCCTCCCATGACTCCTGTGTGTCCACAGGTCTCTAACTGGTTCGGCAACAAAAGAATCCGGTATAAAAAGAACATGGGGAAGTTTCAGGAAGAGTTTATCATTTACACGGGTAAAACGGCTGTAGATACCAACGAAGTTGGGGTCCCAGGGAACCACACCAGCTGCCTGTCAACACCCAGCTCCGGTGAGTGAGGCTGACCCAGGGACAGTCGTCTGCTCGCGTGGACAGCCACTGAGCTGCACTAAGGAGGTTGCGGTGGGACTGTACCGCCCTTCCCCCAGTGGTCAACTTTGTGTAACTCTTTCTTCTGTTTCTTTTCTTTTTTTTTTTTTCTGAGATGGAGTTTTGTGCTTGTTGCCCAGGCTGGAGTACAATAGTGTGATCTCAGCTCACCACAACCTCCGCCTCCCAGGTTGAAGCGATTCTCCTGCCTCAGCCTCCCGAGTAGCTGGGACTGCAGGTGCGCACCACCACACCTGGATAATTTTTGTATTTTTAGTAGAGACGGGGTTTCACTATGTTGGCCAGGCTGGTTTTGAACTCCTGACCTCGTGATCTGCTCGCCTCGGCCTCCCAAAGGGTTGGGATTACAGGTGTGAGCCACCGCGCCCACCAGCTCTTTCCTGTTTCAACTGTGAAAGTTCTGTTCCTCTTGGCCATGATCCCACCCAACAGATACCCGCAGGTGGTGCCTGTGCTTTGGAGGCATAATGGCGATACCGGTAAGAAAAGGCATGAAAGGGCCGGGCGCGGTGGCTCATGAGTGGATCACTGGAGGTCAGGAGTTTGAAACCAGCCTGGCCAACATGATGAAACCCTGTCTCTACTGAAAATACAAAAAACATTACCCAGGCATGGTGGCAGGTACTTGTAGTCCCAACTACTTGGGAGGCTGAGGCAGGAGAGTCACTTGAGCCCAGGAGACAGAGGTGGCAGTGAGCAGAGATTACACCACTGCACTCCAGCCTGGGCGACAGAGCGAGACACTATCTCAAAAAAAAAAAAGGCAAGACGTGAAGGGACATTAGTGGTGTGGTAGGGAGGGCCCCGCTGGCCTCCCTGGGGTGCGGGGCTGAGAAGCAGAGGCCAGATGCTGAGGAGGAGCGGGGAGCCACATTCACAGCCTCCTGCGGGCCGAGGGGCTGGGCAAGTCCCACCTGCGGAAGCGCCGTGAGTCTGCCCACCCCGGCTCCCACCTCTTCCAGGCTCGTCTGGACCCTTCCCACTGCCCAGCGCTGGAGACGCTTTCCTCACCCTGCGGACACTGGCCTCTCTCCAGCCTCCTCCTGGCGGATGCTGCCTGCAGTCCCAGGTGAGTCTGGGCACCGTCCCGCAGCACCCAGGTGGGTGGCAGGTCCTCAGAAAAGGCCATCTTGTCAGCCACCCCTCAGCAGCCACACGTGTGTCCCAGCAGCCACACAGGCCATGCTGCGCGGCCACCTCCACCTGTCACCACGACAGCTGCTGGGAACAGTGGGCTGTGGAGGGGAAGGACACCTCCTGGGGAAGTGTGGGAGGAAATACGTCCTTCCCTCGAGACGGAGGGGCAGGCAGTGAGCAGAGGCCAGAGGAGAGACAGGAGCTTTCCCTTGGGTTCAAACCTGGTGCCCTCAGTGCCACCTCTTGGCCAGGAAGGCAGGTCTTGCGCCCGCACCTCCTCTCCTGCTGCTCTGATGCGGAGCTGAGGGCGCCCTGGTTGGCCACAGCGAGGATTCATTTTGGCGCCTGAGAAGGAAAGGAGCCAGGGGTCTGGGGCAGCTGACACCCACCCTTACCCCCACCCCAGGCCCTGCGGGCTCCCCCTCTCCCTTGGTGGTCACAGGGGAGGCTGTGAGTGGGGACCGTCCTGAAGACACTGCGGAGGCCCCGATGTGACGTGCCCAGCACAGGCGTGAGGCTGTGCAGAGTGTGCCAGGACCCTGCAGAGCCAGGTGCCCACTCCTGACTCACCACTCCCTCCCAGGGGCTCAGAGAACAGATGCCCCCTGTGCCATCTATGGGGTCCCACCTGGTCCTGGGAAGTGCATATCCCACGCTGCCCTGCTGTGGCAGCTACCCCCATCACCATGCAGCCCCCCCAGCCAGGGATACAGGTGAGGGACCTCACCTTGCCCTTCGCACCCCTGGGACCTGACTATGCGCCAGCAGCTCTGCATACACCCCAGGGCAGAGCAGTCCCAGCCACTTCCTTAGCCTGTACCGTGCCCACCATATGGGGGTGGGTCCTGTGGACAAATGTCCTAGAGCCCTTGGGCCTGACACCATCTCTGTGCCAGACAGAGCCCCCATCCCTCAAGACAAGCGGATGCCTCCTGCCCTCCTTGCCGCGCAGCCGGGTCAGTGTTGGGCTAGGTTCCAGAGCCCTTTCCTCCCACCGAGTCTCGATGATGCACCGGGCGTTGCCATGGGCTCCAGGCCTGACCTTGCCTCCCTGCCCCTCGCTGGGCAGGAGCCCCTGCTGCACCCAGTGCTGGTTAGTCCTTTGCTGAAGCCCCAGGGAGGCCGCTAGAGGCCAGTTTTCCTGCGGGGGAAGCTGGTCCATGTCCCATTTCAGGTGGCAAGCCCATCTGTGATCCAGGGCTGGCTCCTCCGTCCCTCCCCTCCTCACCTGACTTGAAGGTCATCTTGAGGACCTGTTCCAAACCTTCCCAGGGACCCCTGGAGCCTCCGCTTGCGGCCCGTGGGCTGGAAAGTCGCCAGTCTCATGGCTGCCCCCTCTGATGCTGTCGTTTCAGGCCCAGGGTAGCTGGCAGGGGGCCACCCCCCTACCTGCAACTGCGCCACCTGCTGGAGACCCTGGCGGCATCAACTCCAACGCGGCTAATTAAGTTTTGGGGATAAGCAAGAAAGAGCGCCGCCGCCTGAGCTGCTGCGCGTGGCCGGCCCTCGCGTGGTTAGTCCACGTGCCGCTAATGACCTCAGAAAACGCAGATGAGTCCCTGCTCCTCAGCTGGCCCGTGGCGCCGGCACTTGTGTCTGCTGGGACTCGAGATGGCCTGAAAAGCCACTCATTCTCCCACCTCAGTTCGTTTTTTTGATAGTAATTTTATGGTAATGGTATGAATTGTCTGTTCTAGGACTTGGCACAGATTTTCCCATTAAAATTTTTGACTTATTTTCATTCCGATGTCTGTTCACCAGATTTGTTTTGGGTGGTAATTGACACCGGTCACAGCTGTGGTGTCATGTGTGCTGTGATTCTGCCACTCATCTGCACTGCTCAGGCACCAACTCCTGACACTATCTTCTGTGGGATCATCTCATTCTGTTCTGGTTTTAAAATGTCCTGGCCGGGCATAGTGGCTCACGCCTGTAATCTCAGCACTTTGGGAGGCTGAGGCGGAAGGATTGCTTGAGCCCAGGCATTCAAGACCAGTTTGGGAAACATAGTGAGACCTTGTCTCTACAAAAAAAATTCTGCTCTCAGAATTTTTTTTTTTTGAGTCAGAAGTCAAAGTCTTGCTCTGTTACTCAGGCTGGAGTACAGTGGCATGATCTCGGCTCACTGCAACCTCCATCTCCCGAGTTCAAGCGATTCTCCTGCCTCAGCCTCCTCCCGAGTAGTGGAGACTACAGGCGCCTGCCACCATGCCCAGCTAATTTTCTATTTTTAGTAGAGATGGGGTTTCACCGTGTTAGCCAGAATGGTCTCCATCTCCTGACCTCGTGATCCGCCCGCCTTGGTCTCTTAAAGTGCTGGGATTACAAGCGTGAGCCACCATGCCCAGCCACAGAATTTTTTTTTTTTTTTTTTTGAGACGGAGTTTCGCTCTTGTTACCCAGGCTGGAGTGCAATGGCGCGATCTCGGCTCACCGCAACCTCCGCCTCCTGGGTTCAGGCAATTCTCCTGCCTCAGCCTCCTGAGTAGCTGGGATTACAGGCACACGCCACCATGCCCAGCTAATTTTTTGTAATTTTAGTAGAGACGGGGTTTCACCATGTTGACCAGGATGGTCTCGATCTCTTAACCTCGTGATCCACCCGCCTCAGCCTCCCAAAGTGCTGGGATTACAGGCGTGAGCCACCGCGCCCAGCTCTTTTTTTTTTTTTTTTTTTTTGAGACAGAGTCTTGCTCTGTCACCCATGCACGATCTCGGCTCACCACAACCTCTGCCTCCCTGGTTCAAACAATTCTCCCACCTCAGCCTCCTGAGTAGCTGGGATTACAGGCATCTGCCACCCTAGCCAGCTAATTTTTTGTATTTTTGGTAGAGACAGAGTTTTGCCATGTTAGCCAGGCTAGTCTCGAACTCTTGAGCTCAAGTGATCTGCTCAAGTGATCCGCCTGCCTTGGCCTCCCAAAGTGCTGAGATTATAGGCTGAGCCACCATACCTAGCCCCACCAAAATTTTTTTTAATTAGCTGATGATGGTGGCACATGCCTGTAGTCCCAGCTACTCAAGAGGCTGAGGCGGGAAATTCGCTTGAACCTGGGATGTTGAGGGTGCAGTGAGCTGAGATTGCGCCACTGCGCTCCAGCCTGGGTGACAGAGTGAGACTCTGTCTCAAATATATGTATTTACTTATATGTTCGGAGCTCAGAGTTTTACTGGGAATTAGTTTTGCACCTTTTCGGGGTTTTGCTCTTTTTGCTGTTTTGCTGTTGCTTTCTGTTTTCAGTTGAAATGTCATTAAAGACGTTAAACTTCCCAAATGCTTTTCCTACACGGTGTGTCTGAGATCCTGTTGGCCCACTGCTGTGCACGGCTTGGAGCTTGGCATCCCCCAATTCCTGTTTGGGTGCTGGGTCCCCCGAGAACCAGGGCCCTGGGCTCTGTTCAGCCTGGGGCGTTGCGGGGCCCAAGGTGACTGGGTGAAAGGAGCATCCAGGGAGTAGAGACGTGGAGTGAGGGGTGGTGGCCCCTCTGCCTGTCCCCTGCTCATAACCAAGACAGCCCTGGCATGGGGTTCCCTCCCCATGGTGGCGCGTGGCTGGGCTTTTTTTTTTTTTTTTTTTTTGAGGCAGTCTCACTGTCTCCCAGGCTGAAGTGCAGTGATGCAATCTCTGCTCACTGCAACCCCCACCTCCTGGGTTCTAGTGATTCTCCTGCCTCAGCCTCTGGAGTAGCTGGGATTACAGGCGCGCAGCACCATGCCTGGCTAATTTTTAAAATATTTTTAGTAGAGATAGGGTTTCACCATGTTGGTCATGCTGGTCTCGAACTCCTGACCTCGTGATCTGTCTGCCTAGGCCTCCCAAAGTGCTGGGATTACAGGCATGAACTGTGCCCAGCCTGTTGCTGGGCTTTATCATCTGCAGCCAGGAGATGAAAGCAACCCCTGTCCCCACCCTAAGTTCTGTTGTCACATCCAGTCTGCCTGCCTCATGGCCCCGTGCAGCCCAAGGCTCACAGACGGAGAACATGGCCCTGCTCTCGTGAGCTGCATTCCCGACAGAAGTTATCAGAAACACATGCAAAAGTAGGGTGGTCGATTCAGGGCCAGTTTCCAAGAGAGACCTTTTTTTTCTTTTTTCTTTTAAATTGTGGCAAAATATACATAACTTAAAACTTGCCCTTTAAAAAAAAATTTTTTTTTTGAGACGGAGTTTCACTCCTGTTGCCCAGGCTGTAGTGAGTACCGCAATCTCCGCTGGCTGCAACCTCAACTGGAACGGGGGAGAGGCTGGGCCATGTGGCCTGAGGGACGGGGCTGCGGCCCATGGGGGTTTTTTTGGACAGAAGCGGGTCCCGGGGAGGGGTGAGGCATGACGAGAGGCGTGGTGTGTGTGGGGAGGGGGTCTCTGGCCTCAGTCACCCCACGTGGGTCCCAGGTCGAAGTTAGCAGCAGAGTCCGGTTTACTTTTGCGATCTCTCCTGGGAGAAAGGAAGAACCTGACGACCACTGTGTGGGCACGCGGCCTCGGGCCACCAGGAATCCACCCTTCACCGTCCCGGCCTTCTGTGGGACCTTGGCCCTGTCCCTTTGCTTCTAGACCCTGACTCTGGCCCCGCCCCGCATACGGCCACGCCCCACTAGTGTTCTGGCCCCGCCCCCTTTCCTCCCCCCCCACCCCCTTCCACTCTAACACCCTGCTCTGGCTCTGAGCCTTCTCCACCTCAAGGGAAGCCATCAGGGACACCTGGGACAGAGGGAGGGTCAGAAACTGGGGTTCTAGCCCTGGGGGCAGGATTGGCTGCTATCCCTGATCCCTAGACCCCTTCCCCAGGCCCTGGGCCAGTGAGGCTTAGGTCCAAAACCCTTTCAGGTTCCCCTGCAACCTCAAAAAATGGGCACAACCACACACCCTCCCAGGGCCGCCAAGAAGTATGGGGCCTTGAAAATAGGAGTTCAGTGCTGGGCGCGGTAGCTCACACCTGTAATCCCAGCACTTTGGGAGACCAAGGCAGGAGGATCACTTGAGGTCAGGAGTTCGAGACCAGCCTGGCCAACATGGTGAAACCTCATCTTTACTAACAATACAAAAATTAGCCAGGCATGGTGTTTGGCACCTGTAATCCCAGCTACTTGGGAGGCTGAAACAGGAAAATCGCTTGAACCCGGGAGGTGGAGGTTGCAGTGAGCTGAGATCGCACCAATGCACTCCAGCCTGGTTGATAGAGCAAAACCCTGTCTCAAACCAAAAACAAAAAAAAAAAAGAAGGAAAAGAAAGGAGGAGTTTCGAGAACCTCCCCCACATGGGAATTCAGACTGTCCGTACCCAAACCCAAGTAGACATTTCCAGATCCCCTGGACCATGCATGGGGAGACATAGAGGGCCCCAAACCCAGGTCGGTCACAGAGGCGTGCCAGGTGAGGTGCGCCGTGGCAGCTTCCAGGCCCCCATATGCAGTTACAATGCCCCCTACACAGAGTTCCAAGGCCTTCCTCATATGTTTATATATATATATATATATAATTTTTTTATTTCCCGAAAGATTTAGAATTGACTCATATAGTTTCAAGATGGAAGTTTTGGCAGGGCAAGGTGGCTCACGCCTGTAATCCTAGCACTTTGGGAGGCCAAGGTGGGCAAATCAGTTGAGGTCAGGAGTTTGAGACCAGCCTGGCCATCTTGGTGAAACCCCATCTCTACTAAAAAATACCAAAAAATAGCTGGGCGTGGTGGTTCCCATCTGTAATCCCAGCTACTCAAGAGGCTGAGGCAGGAGAATCACTTGAACCTGGCAGGTGGAGGTTGCAATGAGCCAAGATTGCGCCACTGCACTCCAGCCTGTCTCAAAAAAAAAAAAAAAAAAAAAAAAAATCGAAGTTTTCAAGGGCGCCTTCCTCAGTGCTTGGCAAGGCCCTATACCCACTCCCTAGTAAACATTTCTGTTCTCGTAGGACTTCAGCGGGCATTTCAAGACCACACGCTAGGACCCTCAAGAAAGTTTGGAGGCCCCCACACTCTAGGGAGGAAATTGAGACCCTGATTTGGATGCCTTGTCCTGAGGGGATGGGTAGCAATTGCTGAGGGAACGGGACTGAGGCTGCCTGGGACACCCCAGCTCAAGTCCTTGCCCCTCTCCTGTGTGTTACTGAGGGTGACGATTGCAGTTATAGAGCACCTAATGCATGCCAGCCTTGCAGTCACCAATTCCTGAAGAGCAGAGGCCATTTGGTTTAGTCCCCAGCTGGGGAAACTGAGGCTGTGAGGTTGAGTCAGGAGAGGGCTTAGGTCTGACCCAAGAGGCTGGGTTTTGTAGTCAGAAGTCTCTGTAATGACCCAGGAGGGGCTCATGTAGCACCCCTGTGCCCACTGAGGACACTACGAGAGCCATGGAGGGCGTGTGAGCCGGGGAGGAACCCAAGCCAGCCTTAAGCCAGGGACATTGAGGCCCGCCCCCCTGCCGTGGCCCAGGCTGCAGCTCTCCCTTTGGCCACCAGGTGTCGTCCCAGCCTGACAAACGAGGTTTCTCAGGCCCTTGTCTGGGAGCCAGCCGGGAACTGGCATCTACTTCAATTTGCCACCACATCTTCAGGACGTGAAAGAAACCCCCTGAGCTTCTGTTCCCCCCGGCCACCCCGCAAAGTAGGGCACTAATGGGACCAGCCTCACCGGGAGAGGTCAGTGAGGAGATGCAAGTGAGGTGCTTCAGCATCCAGTAGGCGCTCAATGGATGCGTGGGCCACCTGCCCTGCCTGCAGCTTAGACAGACAGATGGATCGCCCTGAGACATGG